TAGCCCTGTATATTATATATATATATATATATAATATACAATAATATACATTATTGAGTAGCCAGGTTAGTGTAGTTGGTATAGTGACTGGCTATGGGCTGGATGACCGAGGGGTTGGAGTTCCAAGTCCCAGTGGGGGTAAGAATTTTCACTTCTCCACATCGTCCAGACTGGCTCTGGGGCTCACCCAGCCTCCTGTCCAATGGGTACCAGGGGCCCTTTCCCATGGGTTAAAGCGGCTGGGGTGTGGAACTGATCACTCACCTCCGACTTGTGCTGAGGTCGGGAAAATGTGGATCTATACATCCACTCCCCCATACGTCTTCATGGCATAGTGCTTAATTAGTTAAGCACAGGGACAGCTTTATCTTTTATATATCATTATTGTATCCAGAAAGCCATGGAAGAGTACTCCATATGGTGCTGTAATCTTTTGAGAAGCATAAGAACTATATGCAGAAGCTGTCACAGAGCCTAGAAGAATATCAGGATATAAGAAACACAGAATGGCATGGACACTGCCAGATTTTTTCTGGGGTGGGGGAGCAGAACTAATTGTGGGAACATCCCACATAACAAGCTGTTTCGCCGGTCTTTCAGACAACACTCACTCCTAGGTGAATATCAGATTGCCACACATTGCACTCATATTTATACAGCACTCGCTATCCAGCCCACCTTCGTATCATCGCTAGCCAATCAGCGCTCACAATCGCAACTGCAAGTTTCGCTCCGCCCATCAAGCATGGTAAAAAGGCGGAGCCCAAAGCTCGCAATAGTCAGTGATCACACTCAGTTCAGAGCGATCAGCCATCAGAGTCATCAGCTCTTCACTGCAACCAGCCAACTGACGTAGTTGCTGCAAGTCTCCAATGACCAGGCAGCTAATGCAGCTACCGCAACTCCAGCAACCGACCGTAGGCAGCTGTTTCTACTGGCGCGCACAGCACTACATCACTGGCCAGACAGGCCAGCTGAACGGCCATAAGACTTGGCCTACTATGGAGGAGCAAATTCTGCCAGCATACTCGTGGTGGAACAAACTGCCCTTTGAGGGCCAGCCAACTTTTGAACATTCCACATAGCTTCACAGCTATTCTGTAAATTCAATTTGTACAGTTTAATATATACCATTGTTACAGTTCTATGTGGTTGTCATTTAGAACGTCGACAATCCTACATAATATTTGCTTACAAACTTAACACCTATTTAAGCTGTTTAGGAATATTTTTGAGTACCTGCATTTGAGGATTTCTATAGCATAGAAGAATTAAGTCCAGAAGAGGCAGATGTCTGTCCCTGACGCCCATGCTGTAAACAGGGCTGAGCTAAAAAAATTTCCATGACATAATGAGAAAGAATGGAGAGTGAATCAAGAAAATGTTCTAGAATACCATTGAATAAGTTACATTTAAACTCTCAACATTGAGAAAAATTAAGATATTTTGTATACATTTTCACTGGGGCAGCTTTGAAATATATCTAAAAATGAAGGCTGTCATTGGTAAAGGAACTTAAGGGCATTATGGAGGGGGGGGGGAAGCTGGTAGCACCAGTAAACTATGCACAGACTATGCTCTCCCAAGAGACTTAGTAAATTATGTGCAAAGTAAAATGCTTGTTAATTGACTGTTGTTAGAAACGGGATAGCGTAGTCAGTATAGTGACTGGCTACGGGCTGGACAACCGAGGGGTCAGAGTTGGAGTCCCGGTAGGGTCAAAATATTTTCTCTTTTCAATGTTGTCCAGACTGGCTCTGGGGTCACCCAACCTCCTATCCAATGTGTACTCCCCGGGAGTAAAGCAGCCGGGGCATGAAGTTGACCACTCACCACCAGCTAGTGCCGGGATCAAGAAAATGTGGATCTGTACATTCACTCACCTATATGTCTCCTTGACATAGGGCTTAATTAGTTCATTATTATTATTATTATTATTATTATTATTAATATCATCTTCCCACTTGGAACATAGGTCGTCCATAACTGGCATAACACAGAAAATTCATGTCTAGAGAGGTATTTAATTAATTTCTACATATTCTTGCTTAGGTCCAGCATCAGGACATCATTGTGCAGTTAACGTGTACTCCGCCCAATGGGACAGCAGCCCTGCAGTACCTTGGTCTGAGCCAGGACCCAAGGCAGCCAAACTATATGCCCCCACTAGCTGTAGCTGTATTTTGGTTCCTGTGTCTTCTTGTAGCAGCCAGCTGTTTCCTCATATGCCGATATAAGCCACAGCTTCCCCGCAACAATCCAAACAAGCCATGATGAAATCATAGGGCATGGCTTGTGCCAGGGAATGTAAGTTGCCTTGTGCTCATACAGCTCACATTTTCAGTTTCCTCAACATCACATTGTGGTAATGTGTTTCAGTCTCAAATGCTGATGGCAGTAAATCGAGAAAGATAAGCCAGACTGGACATGGCATGTATAAATGGACAGATGGCAAGATAATATCAAATGAATTCAATTGAAATAAAATGTGAGGTTTTCAGTTGAATTTAACTGCCTCAAAACAGGATCCAGTGCTGGCCTTGTGCGAAAATGGTGATGAGCCTTCGGATTCCACGAAAGGCAGGGAATTTGTGGTCTGGCCAAGTGACTTTTCTTTTCTGACAGATTCTGCTTCATGAATTAGATCAGAACAGCCTTTACTTTATACACTTATACTTTCTTCTAGTTTACTCTCCATATTAATCCTTCCTATGTGACGTACAATGTATTCCACACAAGAAGTTTTCACAAACACCTTCTTACCACTCCATGTCATATGATATATACTGCAGTCTTTCATTCAGTTACACCAGTAAGGGTTCTTTGTATCTGACGATGGCCACAATAGGCCAGAACATGTAGTACAGGCAAACGTATGGTGTGTCTATACCAGGATTGTGTCAAGTGAGTATTAATATTACACATAAGCTGTAATTGACACAATATCAGCGCTGACAGCAGTTGTGATACCAGTTTCAGATTTGGCCACCCATCTTCCCCTGGTTTTTTCTGAAACTGTACATAATCCTAACACAAGAACATACTCTTTATACCATTTGTAAGTATGTTATACCTTGTCCAATACACACATCTGACAACAATCACGTTTCTGCATTCTGTATTTTGACTCCTCTCCCTTGGTGATACACCAAAGAGCATCCAATTTGACAAAGGGACTGTTGCATTGCTTGCGTTTGTATGAAACCTAAATGCCAAAACCTGACTGTGTTTTCTATTTCTTTACCATATTCATATTCGTCCTTATCACTGTCGTCTGCAAAATCGCCCATCCACAAAGCAACAAAACTGTCATTCTCACTTGCTAATTCTTCCTCTATGATGGCAGAAATTTTGTCACTTTTCAGCACTTTTCTCAGGATGTGTCCATAACTGAAGTGCTAACATTAGCCTCTGTGGTCTTTGTTACACTAACAAAGTGTCAAACAGAGAGGCCCCAATGAGCTTGGAATGAAACCACTGCTTTTGTTTATATCTCGTCTATATGTGATTTGGACACATTGATGAAATGCCAGAGATACTTATGACTTGAATTTTATATGCACAGATGGCACAGGAGTAACAATTGAAGGTTATTACATTCTGTTATGATATGCAAGGCAGAGGGTTAATAATTTCCTGTGGTCTTATGACTTAGTCCTTGCCTGAAAACCTTCAGTATGGTGAAACCCCATTTAAGGTTTCTTTGGGGATAAATAATGTGAAAGCTGAACTGAGGAAGCTCTTAAATGTATGTAATTTAACATGACATTACTGACTGGGAATCAATGAAACTGAATGTCAAATTGAGGGAGAACTTGAAATTAAGGAACTTCAAATTGGATTTCCACTGTTTTAACTTATGTAGCTTGTACAAATCTTTTATACCTGCTGATGTTCATAATATTGTATGAAATATAGTGGATTTATTTGTATAAGTTAACTGCATTATGCTTTACTGGAATAACAAACCATCCAGCATAATAAATTTAATTGAATAGATCAAATTAGATGTGCAGCCTTATATGTTCCAGTCCCTTGTGGCCATCCTCGAAGGCATGACAATAGGAGCTTTTAACTTATTCTGGATATGAAAATATGGCACATATTTATAGGTTGTAAAATTTCTTGAAAGTTTTTGACAGCAGAAGTAAAGTTCATCCAGTCTTCCTTGTACACAGCACACAAACACTACCGCACAGCAGATCTTCTGTTATTTATGTATCATTTTGCTCCGTATATTACTGTTTATTAAAAACATTTGTAAGTACAACATGAAAAATATGTTTTTTTAGTATTCATCATATAATTTTATCAAACACAAATATATTGTCATGTGTTACTGATTATCCATGGGTTTTGGATAGGTAATTGGATTTATTACACATTTATAATACATAACTACAAATTATTGCAACAGTATTACTAATTTACACACTCTGTAAATCACTACAACTACAGCACACACACAGTCTTCTATTTGTTATTGTGTTGTCACTAGTCATTGCTAGGTTTTGCTGCTAACAGTGCTAACAGCTGCATCTGATCTCCAAGTAATGGCTTGTCCAATTGATCCTCATTATGCAGGTATAAACTCAGCATGGACCACACAAAAGACACAACATCTTGTATTATTGTAAGATCAAAAAGTTTGTGGTGATAATACAATAGTACAAATTATATGTTTCTGGACATTATCCATAGCCCTGTTTTTATCTGTCCTGTTTATATATCAGAATACGTCTTCAAGAGGGAGAAAGAATCCCATCTCTGAAACGTTGTGTTTTGAAATATAAACAGGATGGTGTTTTAGATAAAAACAGGACAGTGGATAATGTCCAGAAACATAATATTTGTACTGTATTATTGTGTTAGTAACTGTTATGCAGGGCCGTGCCATAGCTCAAGCAGTTAGTCGCTGGCTTCCCACCGCGGCAGCTCGGGTTTGATCCCGGGTCTGGTCAAGTGGGATTTGTGGTGGACAAAGTGGCGCTGGGGTGGGGGTTTTCTCCAAGTACTTCAGTTTTCCCTGCCAATCTTCATCCCACCAAATTCTCCATCATCATAATCACCCGGGGCAGGGTACGATAGGCCAATCAGTGGCCGCCATGCCGAGTGGATCCAGCTGGACTCCACCCCCCACTAAGCAAATTAAAATTAATTAACTGTTGTGCGGAAACATGTTTAGCAATGCCCACATCTATTTGGTGCACTATTCTTGCTTTCATCCATCATATCACAATAAAGTAAAGTAAAAAGTAAAGCTATCCCTGTACCAGGCCATGAAGGCCCATAGGGTTGTGAGACGTTGAGACAATCGGCTCAAAGATGGTGGTAAGGTTGTCAGCCTTATGCGCCAGCCGCGCTTTACTCCCCAGGAAAATAATTTAATTAATTCCTGGTACTCATTTCTGTTAGAGGCTGAATGAACCCCAGGGCCATAGTGTGGCTGGAAGGATCAGGTCAATTGAAAAATCCAGTGACCTTATCGGGACTTGAACCCGCAACCTTCCAGCTTGTAGCATAGCCCCTCAACCAACTACGCTACCACATGCCCCCACATCATATTGTAATATATAATATAATTAATAAAGATGAGTAGTGAATTTGCTGTTGGTTGTTTGTAGTATTTTTGTGTGTACTAGACTGGAAGTGATTGAAGGAGTTTGTATAATGTTGAATGTACTGAGTAGTACACATATATGGTACAGTACATCTGTATATAAAAAAAGAAAGTAAAGCTATCCCTGTAGCAGACTGTGGAGGCCCATAGGGTTGTGAGACATCAAGGCTCCCAAGTTTTCTAGACACTCGGCTCACAGTTGACGGTGAGGTTGTTAGCTTTATGCACTGGCCGCCTTTTGCCCCCAGGAAGAATCCTGATACGCAGTGAGGTTAGCTTTATGCACTGGCCGCCTTTTGCCCCCAGGAAGAATCCCGATACGCATATCTGTTAGAGGCTGAGTCCAATAGAACTCATAACAGAAGAAACATGGATAAACCCACAATTTCAGTTCCACCAACAGAATATATTAGCACACTATTTCTTTAACATGATAAATTTTAATTTTTATACAGATATCTTCAAAGCTGGATTCTTAGTCCATTCTTAGTAAGATGATCTTCACGTTATATTGTATGTCTTTGTGTTCTGTACATACTCATGTTAAGTACACTCCATGATCTAAAATCCACCTATAAAACTTTTTAAATACTTAATAAATGCACATTTCAGAAATCAGTTATTTGTTTAAGTAGAGGGTGAAGAAAATAATAGTGTTAATAAAGTTAACCGGTGTAAACAGGGACGATTAATTGTAACTATATGGTTCTTACTATCCAGTTGTTGTATTAAACGTTTTATATGTGTTCAGCTGATTTTACTAGTTGAATTCTTTTCCTTCAGGTTTCTGAAAAGGAGAGAAGAAAGCCACTGGAACAGAATGAAAGACATACAAGACTAGTGCAGTACAGAGAACTTAGAAGTGCAATATAGAATAAAAATTTCTATATTTAGGGACATAAAAATGCAATCAAGTAATAGAAGAACAAAAACCTGAAAGAAATGTTCTGCTTGATGTAGCATTGGTTTTTAGCAGTAATGTCCCTCTGAACAATATGCATGTGTCAGGGACCACAGAGCCATACATATCAATATTGAGCCAGTTTGATATAATGAACACATATGTACCGCAAGATAGGATCAAATAAATAAGATTAATATGACCTCCAGTAATGGCATACGAATCAGTAACTGATTACATTTTGAATTGAATTTAAGACAAAATTATGAATGCTGTTATATTTACAGATGCCAAACAAGGTCTGAACTTCCACATTGCATTCACCTCCACATTATATCATACAGATTTTGCTTACATACTTCATTTCATGCTTGTCTCTTACTAGTTATAATAGCAAGACTATTTTATGTATAATTTTTGTTAATTGCTGTAAATTGGTATCAGTTCATACAGAGTTTCCTGTTACAGCTGGATACCCCTGAAACTGGCTGAAAAATGTCAGGCTTTATAATTATTTATTAATTAAAGACTGGATGCACTAGAAGGTATTTGTTATATTGAACCTAATTTAAGATTGCATCAGTAACAATGATGTGTAATAAACTGAGCAGTGTATTTGGAAAAAGAAAATCGGCGTTTTTCAGTTGATGTGTTTCAAATTTGCCCTCAACATCTGGGTTATTTCTTGTTTGATATACCTGGAACTATTCTACCTGCATCAGAGGGGTAAAAGATGGAGCAATGGGAACATGTGGGAAGCATGTTTCCTGTATTGCTTAGTTTAAATTATGCAGTGTGGGCAACATAGACTGCTGCCCTTTCATGTATCTGCACATGTTACAGAGAGCTGTTTAATGTTTTACTTTTTTCCTTCTTCCTTACCCTCTGACACCCCTTCATGCTAGACAGACTTAAAGGTACAAATAGAAAAAACTGATATTTTTCAACTTGTCAAGTTGGTATAATGGCAGTGCAAGTATTCGCTTCAAATCTTAGCCCAGATACTGACTATCCAAAGTGAGGCTTTTCTTGGCTCTCCTCAGTGCCTCCAGAGAAACCCAGGATAATACTGTCACATGTTTGTGGCTCCATGACTAATAATAATGGGTTTTGGATTGGATGATTGGATTTACTGACATCTTTTACAGTCTCCTTTAATCACAATCTATTACAAAAGCTCACAATTAATGACGGCCTAAGACTTGCTCCATTCTCATTCTCACTGATTCGGTTCTGTACCACTTATATAGTCTCGAAGCGGATCCATAGAAAACACATCCATTGCCCACCAATGGATACGTGCGAACCACACAGAAAACACCTCTTGCGATGCTGGTTCTATTGTTGCATGCAAGTATTTCAGGCGAAGCCTGGAAATGGGTCTACATGTCACAATATCTTTATTAGATCACAACTGGTTCATTCCAAATCCTTTCCATTTCATCATTCATCTACCATTCTATCATTCAATGGCATATGGTCTAGATCTGTGGTGTTCAATGTGTGGTACAAGTTCAGTGAATGGCATATGAGTACTTCGGCAAAACCAGATTTATTAATTTTCAAATTTAATATCTGACACACTTGATAGTAACCTGATTTAGAGAAAGCATAATGATTCACTTGACTCACTGTCACATCATATTTTGGGCCTGGAGAAAGCAGCACTAAGTAAGGATAAGACTAGCGGCCTCCGTAGTCTAGAGGCAACGTTCCCACCTCATGACTCGTAGTACGCGGGTTCAAATACCCGGCGGATGTCGAATTTTTAAGGGCGGAAAAATTCAGGGAACAAGTCCTCCGGGAGGGACTTTAAGCCGTGGGTACCGTGTCGTAGCTTTATGGCACGTAAAAGAACCTCATATCTCCAAAGGAGGTCACTGAGCCAAATTTACGGACGTTTCCCGCCCAACAGCAGTCTCTAATACCTCTGGTAGATGGGGGAAGCATTATAGATACCTCTCAGCTAGTAGAGCCGGTCTCACTGGCTGGGTACCGGTAGGATATAGAGGCTGGTAGAAATCATAGAGGGAAGCACAATGGACCAATACAGGTCTAAGTGCATGGGGAAACCCACCTTCTCCAATAACTAACTAACTAAGGATAAGGCTGATCACCACTGATACAGACACTGACAGTGTCATGAAGTGACTCACACTTTTTTTTTTGTGTGTTTGTAAAACACATGGGTACTTGATGAATTCTTAGATTCAGAGGTTGCCATCCTATGTTGTCTAAGCAGAGTAGATAGTTCTGTTCTAAAATAGTGTTTAGTAGGATTGTTAATTCAGTATATTTCTGTACATGTCTTCAATACTGAAGGAGCAAAATTTCGTGTTATCGTCAATTTTATTATTTTTGAGGTTATGAATTAGGTTATTAGAATTTTGAACATTACAAATATTGGTTAATTGCACGTAGGTAGGCTGAAAAGTAATGCACACATGCTTGTAGAGTTGTAGAGGGCGAACGAAATGACCTTCAGAAGCGCGCCAGGTGGAATGTGAAAGTAACATTCCCCATCAATACGCATGTGCAGGTTTGAGGTCGTTGCGTTCATCCAGTGTATTTCAAGAAGCGAAGCATGGAGACATGTTCTAGTGCTATGTCAACGTGAGTTAAACAGCGTACTGTTATCGAATTTTTAACTGCTGAAAAAGTGACTTCTACTGAGATTCATCGTCGTTTAAAGGCTGTTTATGGTGACGATGCTATTGATAGGCCTACTGTAAATCGATGGGTAATAAAATTTCGTGGTTGCGAGCCTGGAAAAGCCATAATTGTTGATGAAACACGCAGCGGACGTCCGATCACTGCCACAGACGATAATCATCGCAAACTCGTCGACGATTTGATTCAAAATGACCGGCGAATCACTCAAAAGCGTATCGCAAACCATATTGGAATATCCAAGGAACGTGTCGGCTTCATTATTGAACAGCTGGAATACCGTAAAATCTGTGCACGATGGGTACCACGCCGTCTCACAGACGAGAACAGACAGCTTCGATTGGAATGCTGCGAGCAACTTTTGCAGCGCTACCGTGACGAAGGAGACGACTTTCTTTTGAATATTGTGACGGACGAGTCATGGGTCCATCGTTACCACCCGGAAGAGAAAAGACAGAGCGCTGAATATCGACATCCGTCTTCTCCTCAGGCAAAAAAGTTCAAAACACAACCATCCGCCAAAAAACTTCTTTTGACTGTGTTTTGGGATGCTCACCGAGTTTATGTGACCGATTTTCTGGAACGAGGGGCAACGGTAAATTCTTCTCAGTACATACAGACTCTAAAACACCTCTGGCGTCGAGTTTGTCCTGTTAGAGGCAGCCTGGCGCCAATAATCTTGCAACATGACAACGCTCGTCCACACACCTTGCGCGCAACTGAAGAGGCTCTGCGAAACCTGAAGTTTGAACCAATTCCACACCCTCCTTAGTCCCCCGATTCCCCCGATCTTGTGCCTTGCGATTTTTATTTTTTTCCTCCACCCAAGAGAGACCTCAAGGGTCTCTCTTACACCTCAGACGATGAGGTGAAGGCAGCTGTCAAGTCCTGGATTTGAGAAAAGTCGGAAGAATTTTTCAGTGACGAAATGAAAAAACTTGTTACACGTTGGGAGAAATGTGTTAGCCTTAACGGTGACTATGTTGAAAAATAAATATATGCTTTTGAAACTTAAGAATTGTACTTTAATGTACTTTTTGCCCGATCTCACTATTTGTTTTTTTCGCGCTCTACAAGCATGTGTGCATTACTTTTCAGCCTACCCACGTAATATGTTACTTAATTGTGTGTTTATACATTTTGCTAGTATATATCTGGGTCTCTCTTTCCAATTGATGACCATCCCCTCCCCATAGATACCACATGATCTGCATAACATACTCACTACAGCAAGAAACAACAGCTAGGACAGACAGAACCACATTGAGGGAACGACAAGAGGAAAATGGGACCCTCCCTTATAAGATACAACATAGCACACTAGTAAATATAAAGAACCAAACCAAGAAGGAAAATATGTACAGATATAATAACACATAAATCATTACATGCTCCCTCTTGTTACAGAACACTTCCACCATAATTGCCCAACCCATTATCAAAGAAGTAACAGAATATATCATGCAGGAGATCACCACACAAACATTGTAGGCGACTATTTACATCACATTATATGACCATGCAGTACCCTTAAAATGAAATATATGGAAAATATATTGTGACGACAATAATTTGCTTTCAGATACACTAAGAAATTAAAATAATAACGCTAACTCCCAAGAAAACCCCATAATACACAGCATACACCCATTATGCCAAGAAAAATAATCAGAAGAATTACAAATTTTAAGTCTTATGCTAACTGGAATTTAATTTTTGAATGAAATGTACATTTGTATTATTTATAATTTTAACAATTAAAATTATAATTATATAAAGACAAAATTATTAATCATTTAACTGGATTCATATCATTAAACAATCCAACAAGGAGTTACATATTCATGAAATGATTGCCTAATGATCAGAGTCGAAATGTTTAGCAATACTTCTACACAGTAAACGAATGCTCATACAGTGCTATTGATTTATTTATTACAGAATTGTTGTGGTGAGGGGTACATTAAGAATATCATACATAATAACACAAAACAAGATCCATATAATTAAGGAATGAGAAAAGAGCAGTGCCCAGCCATATACGTAAATAATACTGTAATTCCACAATCATCAACAGTAAAGTATCTTGGACTCCACCTGGATTCTGGGCTTACTTGGGAGCAGCATATAGCCAAAATAGAAAAGAGGTAGACCTAAAAGTAAAAGACATACATTGGATCATTGGAAGTAAATCTAGCACATCGCTAGATAGTAAAATACTTCTTTACAAGACAATCATAAAGCCTATTTGGACCTAAGGAATCGAACTATGGGGATGTGACAGTAAAACGAACATAGCCATAATGCAACGAAGGCAGTCCAAAATACTGCAGGTGATCACAAATGCACCTTGGTATGCGACTAATCAGACCCTACATGACGATCTCAATGTACCATTCATCAAAGAAGTCATCCAAGAAAAAGCCTAAAACATCATGATAAACTAGGACACCATAGCAATACATTACTGCAGCCCCTACTCCAACAACAACAACAACAACAACGAAGAAGGCTAAAGAAATTATGGCCAGCAGATCTACTTCATGGTTGAAGAGGATCTCTCATTGGAGGAGCCCTCATCACGATACTATAAGCACATGAGGACGGTGTTTAAATTAGCAAATTAGCTTAAAGAATGTATTTAATTCTGATTGCTAATAAAAATATATATATATAATTAAGATATATAAGAGGGAGTGTATTGCAAAATTGAAACTGTATAAATTGCCAGGTAGTGATCAAATTCCAGCAGAACTTATTCAAGCAGGAGGCGAAATATTACGTTCTAAGATCCACAATCTAATTACTTCTGTTTGGCATAAGGAAAAATTGCCTGATCAGTGGAAGGAGTCTATTATTGTACCAGTTCACAAGAAGGGTGATAACACTGACTGTAAAAATTATCAAGGGATATCACTGCCATCAACTTCATACAAAATGTTATCCAATATTCCTGTCTCAAGGTTAAG